CTTAAATTTTTAAGTGCATTTCTCATTCTAACTTTGAAATAACTTGTCGGGTGGAGTAGATTTGTTTGTTTTTTTGATCTTAGATATGTAGATAAGAAATAAAAAGTTTAGCCAGGCATGGTGGCATACACCCTAATCCCAGCACTGGGAAGACAGAGGCAGGCAGATCTCTGTGAGATTGAGGCCAGCCTGGTCTTTGTAGCAAGTTCCAGGTCAGCTGAGGTAACAGGAAGACCCTGTCTCAAAAAAAAAAAAAAAAAAAGAGAAAAGAAAAGAACAAATTTAAAGATTTGATGATAACTAAGATTTTATGAGGCATATTAGTGGCAAAACTTATTCTTTTCTCTGGTTCTGAGTTCTGTGTTCTTTATAGCATGTATTAATAATATCCTGTTAGGATCATCATGTTATCTTTACTGTTCCTCAAACTCGTATGAGAGCAACACATCTTTTATTTTTAGATTAAAGTAATTTCATATGTAGTATTTTATTTGACTTTTTATAACCATTGTATATAAGCCTTGGAAATAAGTGAAATCTCAGGTCATATTTATGAATCCATGAAACCACCTAGTTTTCTCAGCTTCATGCTTATATTTGTTTTTCTTCCCCCCCCCCCCGCCCCTGGTCTCTTTTGAGACAGGGTCTCCCTATAGCCCCAGCTGTCCTGGAACTAACTATGTAGACCAGGCTGGCCTTGAACTCACAGAGATCCGCCTGCCCCTGCCTCCCAAGTGCTGGGATTAAAGGCCTGCACCACCACTCTGGGCATGTTTATATTCCTACTCAACATTTTTTTTTTTTTTGGTCTTTTTGAGACAGGGTCTCCCTATAGCCCCAGCTGTCCTGGAACTAACTGTGTAGACCAGGCTGGCCTTGAACTCAGAGATCCACCTGCCCCTGCCTCCCCAGTGCTGGGATTAAAGGCATGCGCCACCATGCCCGGCTCTTACTCACATTTTTAAATATTATTGTATGCTGTCAATTCTCTATCATTTTAACCTGTTTTGAGGGTGATGTGGGGATTTAGTGGATATACACTGGTTTTTGTCTTTGCTTCTGCATTAGTTACTTCTCTTTTGCTTTGAAAAAATACTATTCCCTGCTGCTTTGGAACTCATAGTTAAAGAAAACAAACTTTTCAGCACTATAATTACAGTATGAAATGGATCAGGTATGACTGAGGAATTAAAGGAAATTTGGGGAGTATAAGAGACAGAAGAAGCTGTGTGCAGAAGAACTTCCCAGAGGAGTCGAGGTTCTGTTAAGAGCCATAAAAAGAGGTAAGGAAAAGTATTGTAGGCAGGCAGAACACTAAGTATGAAGATAGGCATGATAGAGAACAAGCACATTTCAGAGACTGGAGAGTTGTGAGAATGATATTGAAGAGGAGGGAATCAGTAGCAGCCAAGAAGAGGTGTTACAGGCTCTAGAAACATTTTAGATTTTATCCATTGGGAAGGTTTCCCCCACCACCATTGGGAAGTCGTAAGAAGGAAAATGACGTGTGTGTGTGTGTATCTATAACTATGCATGCCAGTGCACATGTGTGTACAGGGTGTACAGGCATGTGGAGGCCAGAGGTCAGTGTCAGGTGTTGTTTCTCAGGAGCTATCCTGGCTTCTTTTTATTTTGGGTTGGCTCACAACAGGATTTCTCACTGGACTTTGGACCTGATAATTAGACTTGATTGACTGGCCAGTGAGCCCCAGGGATCCCCGTGTATTTGTCCAGGCTTGTGTAAAACCTTACATATAGCCCAGACTGGCCTCAAACATGTGTTCCTCCTCCTTCAACTTCTGGAGTACTAGGATAAATGTCTGACACTATCTGGCTGTTAGATGATCAGTCTTAATTAACAAGTTGATTGGATTGAGAAACATCTAGGAGATCCATAAAGCATACCTTTGGGGTTGTCTGTGATGGTATTCAAGAAACAATTATATGCCAGGTGTGGTGGTGTATGCCTTTAATCCCAGCACTTGGGAGGCATAGGCAGGTGGATCTCTGTGAGTTCGGGGCCAGCCTGATCTACATAGTGAGCTCCAGTCCAGCTGGGGCTACAGGGAGACCCTGTCTCAAGAAAACAAAACAAAAAAAAAAAAAAAAGGAGAGAAACAATTACATTAGGAGGGCTCTGGTATAAAGAATGGATCAGGGGCTGGAGAGATGGCTCAGCGGTTAAGGACATTGGTTGTACTTGCAGAAGACCTCTGAGTTCAAGGCCAGACTAGTCTACATAGGGAGTTCCAGACCAGCCGGAGCTACAGGGAGACCCTGTCTCAAACAGACCAAAAGAAGAAAAAAAAATCCATTTAGATCAGTATTTGTATATTTATGAGACACACACATAATTGTAGACAAATACCAAACAATGCAATACCTCATGGGTATACTAACACACTGTGAGATACATTAAAAAAAAAAAAAAAGATGGGGCTGGAGAGACGGCTCAGTGGTTAAGAGCACTGACTGCTCTTGCAGAGGACCTGGGTTCGGTTCCCAGCACCTACATGGCGGCTGCAAACCATCCTTAACTCCAGTTCCAGGGGAATCCGAAGCTCTCTTCTCACCTCCGCGGCATTGCATGACATGGATGCAGTCACATACATGCAGGCAATACACTCATACATGTAAAATAAAAATAATAAAATATTTTTTAAAAGATGAATAGATGGTTAAATATGTGATAAAACAAATATAGAAAAATATTAGCTGTACAATCTGGGTTATGGGCATATAAATGTTCATTGTATATATCTTTAAACTTCTCTAGGTTTTCAGTGCTTGTTTTTTGTTTTTGTTTTTTTGTTTTTTGGTCTTTTTGAGACAGGATCTCCCTGTAGCCCCAGCTGGCCTGGAACTGGCCTCTGCCTCCTGAGTTCTGGGGCTAAAGGCATGCACTATCACACCTGGCATGCTTATATATTTTTTGAGATGGGGATCTTGCATTGTACTTGGAGCTTGTCCATTAAAACTATCACATTGTCTTTCAAGAGGCATTTATCCATTTTAACTCAGAGTCTAATAATATTTGGCATTTTGCTGTTGCATTCGTTATGTATTTGTCAGATATACAGATTGTGAATGTTTTCTCTCATTCTGCAGGCTATATCACTTTACTCCTTTGGTCTACAGAAGCTTTATAATTTTTGGTATTCTCATTTGTGTATATATTTACTTTGTATTTGATGTTTGGTTCTCATCCAAATGTTTCCTTATGGCATCCACTTGTACTCCCAGCTACTTGAGAGGCTGAGGCAGGAGAATTAGTGAATGCCATGAATTTGAGATCATCATGGACAACAAAGTAGACAAAAAAATTCCCATTCCAGTGTTTTAGAACATTTCTTTTATGTATGTTTTCTTTTAATAGTTTATAGAGTTAGCATCATCTGAGAGGTGAAAAAGATTTAGGGGTGAAATCAAGTCTGATAGAATGGTTGGATATTGGATATGTTGGCCTTGAAATATTGTATAGCAATTAATTTAGGATTGGAGATAGTTCTGGGAAAGAAAGCGTATGGAAAATTGTTGGAAGTGCAGGGTTATTGTTTTTTGGAGCAATTTGGAAAATCTGATATTTTCTGACTTAGCAGTTCTATATCCGAGTGTATAATATTTCCAGTATACTTCTTTTTCTTTTTTGAGACAGGGTCTCATGTAGACCAGACTGACCTCAGATTCCCTATGTATCTGAGGATGACTTTGAACTCCTGATCCTCTAGCCTCTACCTCTCATGTGCTAGGATTGCAAACATACATCACCTTGTCTAGTACAAGAAACTTTGTAGGTGTGTCTTAGGAAACAAGTACATAAATGTTTATAGGAGTGTTGTTTTGATAGAGTAAAAAAAGAATAAAAGAAATTATATTTTTATTTATTGGAGAAGGGATGTATTTATTGGTATATTTGTAGATGAATCTAACTTTATGTAATAAAAGATAAGACATAAAAATAACAACTTAAGAATAGTTCAAGTGAGGCCTGATAGCATAGGCCTTTAATACGGCTATTCTGGAGGCTGAGGCAAGAAGAATTGCAAGTTTAAGGCCTGCCAGGGCCATAGAATGAGTTCAAGGCCAACATAGCAACCTGTCACAAAATAAAAAGTAAAAAAGTGAGCTTGGGCTACAGCTCAGTGCAAGGCTCTAGGTTCAATCTCCAAACCCAGTGGGTTGGGAGTTGTTCTTGAAAAGGGACCCTAAGGATGAATTGGGACTTTAAACACTGTGAAAGCAAGTCACGGGGGCCCCCGACTATTATTGTAAGGGATATATTTATATATCCCTAACTAGAACTAGTCTTAGGGTTATTTTTAATGTATATTTTCATGTTTTATGTACAAGTAGCTGTTATTTTATTACATGTTTTAGGTTAAATATGCATGATTTCATATATGAGTATGTGGGTTGTATGTGGACATGACGACCAGAGGGTATACTTCCTCAGGGGCTATCTACCTTGTTTTTTGAGATAAGCTATACTGGTTGATGAGCAAGCCCCAGAGATCTGTCTCTGCCTCCCTAGCAGCACTGAGATTATAAGCACCCAGTGTTTTAATGTGGATTCTAAGCACTTTAGTGAACTGAGCTAGTTCCCCAGCCCCTGTAGTCACCCTTTATATATTTTCGCACCACCCTCATCCACTGTTTCATAGCTCTGCTGCTAATGATATGAATCCTTTGTGATTCATTAACAGTTAAAGGTTGACACAAGGGCTTCCTGGAATCTGCACTGCCAAGACAGTTCAATCTAGTGGGAAAAAATATTACAAGTATTCTGTAACATATTCTTTTCAAGAAGGAAGAATAAAGAGATCATCCTGACTTCTTTATTTCATTAAATTTTTAGAAGCAAAGGAAGAGGATATTACATAGAAAAGTTTGTCTTTGCCATTATTAAGATTATGTTGTAAGTCTCCTAGGCAATTAGGCATACTTAGAGAATTCAGATGGACCCTTATTTGTCTAACTTGTATATGTGTTTTGTTTTTCAGAAGGAATTGAGCCTTCCAAGGAGAGGCAGTTTGTAAGTAGATGGTTATTATCATTTTGATTTTGTCTGTGGTGATCTGATTAGTAACTGTCTTAAGGACTTATTTCTAATATTCATTGTAAAAATGTCATTTAAGAATCTTGTTTTCTACTGATATTTCAATCCATTAGGTCAGAGCCTCTTCTCTCCTCACCTTCCTCCTGTCCTAATTTTGCATTTTAGTAGAAATGTTGCCACTTGGATATCTATCACAATTGTATTCTCATTTTGGAATTCACAGTTTTAGTAGATTTGTTAAGCTAAGAATATTGGGGTATTAAATCTAAAACTTTTTGAATCTGTATTCCACATCGTGGTTACTGTGGGGAGAAAATTTTTTTGACAAGTTGGGGCTAGGGCAGCCAAGTTTAGAGACTAGGTTAAAATAGGTCCCCTACCTGTTTATTTTACTCCAAATTCAGGGCTAGGTAAGGCTGGTAAATAGTCTGTCCCTGGATTTTAATTTCTTATGTCTTGTTTGGCTACTTTTTTCTCTAAGATTTCTTGGGCAGTACTGATTTGGCTAATCAGAATCATGTGGAATATGTGTTAAAAAGCATAATGTGGTGCTTGAGAGGTAACTCAGTGGTGGAGATTACAAGTAGTTTTCATGAGGCTCATACATCCCAGGTATTGCTGAGGGAAAAAAAGTAGAACATGAATTTACTGAATTAGAGGGCCCATGCTGAGGGCCGCAAATTAGTATTTTATATACCTTTACCAAACTTACACTCTTACCCATACCTACTATGATTTACTAGAAGTCAAAATTTGGGAAACACTGGGCTGGGGAGATGTCTCATTGGGCAAATCACCTGCTGCACAAGCATGAGGACTTGAGCTGGATCCCCCCAAACCCACATAAATTGGGTTTGGTAGCACTCATCTGTATCTCAGTGCTCCTATGATGACATGGAAGATGAAGACAGGAGAATCCTGGGAAGCTCACAGCCTGGCCAGCCTAGCATATACAATGGTGAACAACCAAGAAGAATCATTGTCTGAACACTAGAGGTTGTCCTCTGACTACCACACATGTGTTGTGGTACATGTGTGCTTTCATTCACACCTGTACCTGTGGACACATGCACATGTGCACACAAGATTTGGGGGAACATTAAAGAAATACAGCTTGGATAAAACAATGGCTTTGAAACTTTTTTTTTATAGAAACATGAGCTATAATATATGAGAGGGAAGCAATGGTATTTTTATTTATCAGGTATGCTAAAATCATGTATTTAGTATGTGTGGACTTGTGCGTACCATGACGTATGTGGAGATTAGAGGAGAACTTTCAGGAGTTACTTGTGTATATATCATATACACTTTTAAAATGTATGAAATGGGCTGGAGAGATGGTTCAGTGGTTAAGAGCACTGGCTGCACTTGTAGAGGACCCAAATTCAGTTGTTAACAATTCATCATCTATGAAATGAAGGTCATGATGCCTGCTTTTCTTTTTTATTAAAGCTATTAGAAGAATTACTTAATGGTATACAACATTTCTTCATTTTGTGCAGTTTTATTGTAAGATATATTATTTTTAGAATTGTTATTAAGCATATTAGGTATTTTGGATAAATTCTGTTACTTAAGGCTACATTATTGGGGGGGGGGCTGTTTTTGAGACAGGATTTCCCTGTAGATGGCCTAGAACTCACAGAGATCTGCCTGTCTCTGCCTCCCAAGGGCTGGGATTAAAGGCATGCGGCACCACGCCCAGCTAAAGCTACATTTCTTTAAATTTAGTTTTCAGAGGGGATTTCATTTCTAGTGGCACAGTCCTGAATCTTCTCTAAGTTGGTCAAGGTAGGGGCACTGCTGGGACTCTGGTGTCATGGTGTGCACAACAGAAATCCTGACTGTTGAGTATTATAGTCAACAAATATTTTTACTTGGTCATTTTCTACTATGTCTGACATATTTTCCCTTTTTGTTTCCTCTATATGGAAGCTCTCTGAGATATTCCTTTTTTATAAAAAAAGATTTAATTTTATGTATATGATTGTTCTGCTTGCTTATATATATATATGCACCATATGTGTGCCTGGTGTCTGTAAAGGCCAGAAGAGTGTGTCAGATCTCCTGGAACTGGACTTAAGAGATGGTTATAAACTGCCATATAGGTGCTGGGAACCTAACCTGGGTCCTCTTCAAGAGCAGCAACTACTCTTATCTGAGCCATCTCTTCTTAAGATTAAATGAAATTGGGCTGGCAAGATGGGAAAAGGCACTGACCACCAAGCTTAATGACCTGAACTCAATCCCCAGACTCCACATGGTAGGAAGAGAAAACTGGCTCCCAAAAGTTGCCCTCTGACCTCAACATGCATCTGTTCAAGAGTGTTCTCTCCCGCCCCCTCAATAAAATGTAATTTAAGCTGAGAGTGGTAGCACACACCTTTAATCACAGCACTTGAGAGGCAGAGGCAGGCAAATCTTTATGAGTCTGAGGCCAGCCTGGTCTACATAGAGAATTCCAGGCCAGCCAGGACTACATAGTAAGACCCTGTCTTTAAAAAATTAAAACAAGATTAAGTGAAATTAAGTCCATTGCAGATAGCTTCTAGGAATCTGTGCTTCCAGTGAATGGGGTTTTGGGGAAGGAAGAAGAGAGATAACCTTATTTAATTTGGTACTGGAAAAATATTTTGGTCATGTTAGCTTTGAAGTAACCATAATCATTTTATTGCTACTTAAAGTTAATTCTAGCTGGGCATAATGATAAATACCTATAATCCCAGCATTCAGGAGGCTGCGAGGTCATGAGTTTGAGCCTAGACTTGGTTGACCTGTCTTCAAAACAAAAATGTATTGAAAAGAAAGAAAGTTGGGCATACTCTAAGCCTTAAAATGTTAAGGTAATAAGGATCAGAAATAGATGTTCCCTCTTGTTTTTGGTATCATAACTCACATTTAGACAATTGTTTAATAAATGTGTACTGATAACTACTATATCCTGGGAACTAACTAAAGTTATGAAATTAAAAGTTATAATTAGGCATAATTGTATGTATGTATATATGTATATATATAAAGATAATTTTTTCCTTTAAAATATATTCTTCTTTTGAGGAGCTTAGAAAATTGTCTAAACCACCAGTTCTTCAGCTCTTCAATACAAACAGTATCTTACGTGTATATGAACACGTGCATATATGTATGTGTGTAGGGATGTTTGTGTGTGCACATGCATGTGGAGGCCAGAGGTCACCTTTAAGTGTTGTTCTTAGGGTGCCATCCACCTTGTTTTTTGTGACAGAATCTTTGACTGACCTGTAACTCACTGATTAGATGAGGCTGATTGATCAGTTAGGACCTGGAATCTTCCTTTTCCACCTCCCCAGCATGCAAGTTCTTTATGCTTTATTTTGAAGCTCAAACCTCATGTTTGCCCAATAAGCACTTTACCTATTGACTGAGCTATCTGCCTAGCTCAAACAATGTCTCTTTTATCTCTAATTTTGGAACTGCAGAAAAAAAAATATTCTAGAAGGAAGGGAGACATAGATACTGTCTTAGTGAGTTTTCTGATCTTGTAACAATATCTGAAACTGGGTGCTTTATAAAGAAGAGGAATTTAGTGTGGTTCATGGTTCTGGAGCCTGGAAAGTTTAAGAACATGTTTCAACATCTGCTTAGTTTTTGGTTTGAACTTGCTGCTTCATCTCATGGCAGGGGAAAGGGTCACATGTAGAAGAGGTTAAAGAGGAGTGGTGGCCTTGCCTCTTTTGAAGTAACTAAATCCAGTGCTAGGAGAAAGGAATTGATCCTTCTTAACAACCCAGTTAGTTCTTGAAAGATGTCACCTTTCCCATACTGTTAATCTTGGAAATTAAATTTCACATGGATTTTGGAGGGGATAAGGTATATCCACACCATTGCAGAGATCAATGTAGGCTCTTGCCACTAACAAGTTTTATATGGCTTTAAATTGAAAGTACAGGGACTGGAGAGATGACTCAGCAGTCAAGAGTACTGATGACTCTTGCAGAGGACCCAGGTTCAGTTCCCAGCACCCACAAGGCAGCTGATTTACTGTCTGTAACTCTAGTTCCAAGGGACCCGATGCCCTCTTCTGACCTCCATAGGGAATTCCACAACATGGGTGCACTTATACACATGCAGGCAGTACACTTATACACATAAAATAAAAAATAATTAGGAAGTATAATTTCTGGGTTTGAGTTGCTTTACATAAAATAAGGTGAATGCCTTCCTGATCATCTTGATCATCTGCTTGGTCATCTGTTCAGATAAATGAAGCTTCATTGAATCTCTTCTACCCAGAGCTCGGTGAGACTTTGTAGGCAGGAATGCTTAGCATTTACCGGTAAAGAAACAAGAAAAGTAAGATTGCTTAATGTATTCTGACTCAGTTGAATTTAATATTGAAAGTTTAGGGGTTGGGGATTTAGCTCAGTCAAGGCCCTGGGTTTGGTCCTCAGCTCTGGGGGTCAGGGGGGAGACCACGACACACAAAATAATATTAAAAGTTTATCTGCCAGGTGTGGTGGCTCACGCGTTTGATCCCAGCACTTAGGAGGCACAGGCAGGCGGATCCCTGTGACGTCAAGGCCTGCCTGGTCTACATAGTTCCAGTCAACTGGGGCTACAGGGAGACCCTGTCTCACGAAGCCCCCCCCCAAATATATATATATAGCTTTCAAGCACAGATAATTGCTGAGGGACGCCAAAGCAGGAATTCAGGGCAGGAACCTGGAGCACAGACCATGTAGCAGTACTGTTTACTGGCTTACTCCCCTGACCTCTTCTTAGTCTGCTTTCTTATATAATACAGGGCCACCTGCCTAGGGGTGGTACCAACCACAGTGGACTGGACCCTCCCACATCACTCAACAATGAAGAAAATGCCCAAGAGATCCAGCCACAGGTCAATCCAATGGAGGACATTCCTCAATTAAGGTTCCCTCAACCCAGGTGTGTCAAGTTGACAACTGAAACTATCCAGCACAGATCCTCTGGAACTG